CCACACACACAAAAAACAGTTTGTTTTTTAAACTGGGATTCTCAAGACAATCCTAGTAGTACTATAGTTCTGTGGGTCTATATTGCATCTTTATTCTACTGATCCTGAACATACAACAATAGTGAGACAGCAAGACAGAGAAGCACTATCTATTAAGAACTGTGATAGGTTCCTTCTACACCATTTTAAAAAATCTGCATGGAATCCAGGCAGGGGGTTTGTTAACCATATTGGCTTGCACACTAATTCTGAGTCACTAAAGACTACCTCATCTCCCTTCTCCAGTAAACTTTGTTGTCTTACAAGTACTTGAAAAAGTGTGAGGGGAACATCCCTCCTCCTCTCCAGCACGGCATGCTCTAAAGACCATGCTGAACTCACAGTTCCTTGCTTCTCTGACTTCTTGGAGCTTTGGGAGCCATGTGAGAAAGAGGGATATAGCTACAGGGGGCAAGCTCAGTAACTGCTTCAGAGACTTCCTGACTTGTCGGTCCACACTTTTTGTGGTGGGCTGGACACAGTATCTAGCTTCTAGAAAATGGACTGTGGTAAGATGAGAAGGAACCACAATGGGTCAGAAATACTGACTGGCACCTGCCCTGTCAACACTCTTCTTGCTTGTTGCTCTGAGGAACGAGCCACTGCATTTTTGAGGGTCTTTGGGGAGTTACTGACTATATTCTCTGGCCTGAAGCCCTATCAATATCCATATGAAGGAACCGGGGATGGACCATTCTTTACTAGAGCCTCAAGATGTGACTGTAGCCCAGATGATGATGATGATGATGATGGTGGTGGTGGTGGTGATGACAATGATGTTGACAACAGTTTTTGAGACAGGGTCTTGATCTATATCTCATGGAACTTAGTACTTGCATGACAATGACGTTTATTGGAAGACGAGATGAGTCTTGCAGTCTTACTGTTGGATATTCAGGATCAGTAGCATAAAGATGCTACATAGATCCTCAGAACTATAGTACTGGACTCATAGCAGTCCTCCTGCCTCAGTCTCTCAAGTGCTGGGATTCCAGGTCTGTGCCACATCACCCAGGCATGATAATGACTCTTGACATCAGCCTGTTGACTGAAAGTCAACAGCTCTAGCTAATCTGAGCCCTGATTTCAGACCCACAGAAACCATGAGATAATGGACACAGTTTTAAGCCACCCAGTGTTGAGGTCTTTTGTTTACATGCATCTGTGACTGAGTGGCTGGGCCTTTATTTAGACCATCTTTTGGACAAAATGCTATTTTATTTGGAACACAATGGTGTTAAAGGGCTTTAAAAACAGCCCCTCTCAATGTCATCTTTTTAGACATGGAAGTCAAATTATTTCTAAATATTCAGGGTTTTTAAGGAAAGTGTTATCTAAGGAAGCATCTTTTGCAGATAGAAATTCTCTTTCTTCTCACAAAGTATATTATATTTTGAAATGATCTAAGATATTGCGATTTCAATTATTTTTTCTCTTGCTCTGCAGAGTTTAGAAAATGTGTCATGCTTGTCAGACACTCTCTGCATGAAGGAACAGGATTGCACTAATGAAACAAGTTTGTTTTAAAGCATTATTTTTCTCATTGGGAGTTAGTATCACTTTCAAACTACAAATTAAAAACTACTATTCCCCTGACATCTTGCTTAGTTCTAAGAGAATTCTCCAGAAGATGTGCCCTAAAAAATGACAGGAAGTCCTTTCTAGTACTTAAACATAATAAACATTAGCTCCTTGAGGCAGTAATAATCTTTAGGGAAGAGATTAGATGGTGAAAATAGAAAATAGATACACTTGGTGACAGTAAAGCTGGGACCACATACATAGAAACTCGATACTCCACATTCCAGGCACACTGCTTATGGACCCACAGATATTTTATGTCTGGAATACTTAAAGAACATGACTGAGTTTATTCTCTCTCAAATATACTTGATAATTCATATTTTTACAGGGAGGTGGGAATGGAGCCCAACCCTAACCAAGAAGCTGTTTGTTGTTTGATGCCTGTTGGGAGCGGGAGGATTGGTTTTCTCCAATGGAGAGACACTGTGTGTGTCAACCACACTGGGGCAGGCCATATGCTTGGGGGCAGATGGCCAAGAAAAAAATGGACCCCTGTGTTTTCATGTGTACATTTTTATTTTATTTTATTTTATTTTTTACTAAGAGAGAGGGTATATGGAGTTGGATAGATAGGGTGGCAAGAGGGATCCGGGAGGAGTTGGGTAAGGGAAAGAATGCAATCAGAAAATGTTGTATGAAAACAATTAGCACAAATACTATGTTAAAACTGAAAAAAAAAAAAAAACCTCCTTGGGAAATGCTGTGTACCCCCTGGGGATACCAATCCTTTCAACATGTACTGCAGTAAGGAAGCTCTCAACTTTAATTACAGTTCTCAGATTTCTTTGCATATGAGTTCTTTATATTATTAGTAAATTAATCATTATATTATTAACCTAACCCTCTTAATAATAATAATTACTAACCACAGCTTGGGAAGCCCTGTTCTATTCCACTTATTCCATAATTACAGGTTAGGCCTTCCCCAGTGAAAGCACGCACCCCCTTTTCTAGCAATGTTTGTTCATTTGGTTAGGAAGTCGGGCCACCAGATGGACAGGCAGGAACCCATGCACATCTTTTTTGATGTCTCCTCTAGAAGCAGAAGGGATTCTGGGAATCTGTGCTCACAACGATGGTATGGTAGTCACTCAATACTGAAACTGTTAGCAACTACTTCTGCTCAAATTAGAAGTAAAATGTACTTTTGAATATGGAATTCATATTTTGCTGGCTAGTTTTTATTAACTAGACACAGTCTAGAATCACCAAGTAAAAGGAACCTCAACTGAAGAACTGTCTGTGATGAACTTTCTTGATTGATAAGAGCAGGTTCAGCCCACTGTTGGGGGCATCATCCCCAGCAAGTGGGTCTGGGCTGTACAAGGAAGCTAGCCGAGAACAAGCCCGAAAGTAGACCAATCACGCTCCCTTTATGGCTTCCATCTCCAGGTTCTTGCCTTGAGTTCTGGCCCCAATTTCTCTTGATGATGGATCATGACTTGGAAGACTTAGCCAAAGAAACCCTTTACTCTCCTAAGTTGCTTTTGCTGGTGGTGTTTATCACAAGAAGCAAATATTTTTATATTTAAATGCTTTTATCATTCTCTGAATATTTTCAAATTCCTATATTTTCCCTTGGCTGAGAAAACAAATGGAACTTGTGTCTTTGGCCCTACTTTAAATTTCAATAAAAACTGCTGTGTAAGAAGGGTCACATCAAGGCGGGTGGGGGGGGTCTCATTTCTAGCCAGTGTCCCATGTGGTAAAGACTCATGTTGGGCAAAATCATCTTTACCAAATGGCTGTCAGTTGTGATGGGACCCTAGGGTGTCCTTTCAAAAGGAGTCATGGGGAATGAGAGAGAAGTTGGAACAGGATCCTTCTATGCACAGATACATGGAACCAAACCCAAGAGTACTCCTGTGCCAGTGAGTACCTGATGGCCTCCTTCAGAACACTCTGAGGAGCAAACACAAGATTTTCTTTGAAGGATTCTGTGGGAAGGACACACATCCTGGATCCCACTGTTGGCTGGGGCAGGACACACTGGATGCCACTGTTGGCTGGGGCAGGACACACTGGATGCCACTGTTGGCTGGGGCAGGACACACTGGATGCCACTGTTGGCTGGGGCAGGACACACTGGATGCCACTGTTGGCTGGGGCAGGACACACTGGATGCCACTGTTGGCTGGGGCAGGACACACTGGATGCCACTGTTGGCTGGGGCAGGACACACTGGATGCCACTGTTGGCTGGGGCAGGACACACTGGATGCCACTGTTGGCTGGGGCAGGACACACTGGATGCCACTGCTGGCTGGCTCAGGAGACATTGGATCCCACTGTTAGCTGGGTTAGTGATTAAATGATTCAAGCCAACTTCAACTTCAGTCTGGAGCAGTAAATCCAGAGTATTTCAGGTGCCTGTCTGCACCAAACTTTGGAAGTTTCTGACAGTGATGAAGGGAGCTGAGAGAGTGGTGGACACCATATTCAGCTGCACAAAACTCAAAGTGACCAGCGGAGGTCTGGGCACAGCAAATAAGACAGTGCCAGGGTGAAAGCTCTCCCTTTAGAATTCAGACTCACCTGACCCAGATGCCCAATTGTCCGGGAGAACTTAGAGATTGAAAGTGAAGACGCTTGGATAACAGACATTCAAAAAATTAAGATAGAGTTTCAAAGGTCATTTATTAAAACCAAGTTGAAATATCCATAAATAGCCTGGTTGCCAAACTTGTTAGAAAATTTTAGACTTGGATTACTGCTCCACAGATGTCAATTCGCCGGCTTTTGTCACCCTCTCATGCAAGGCTCACCACAGTGCCCCCTGACAAGAGACTCTACTCAGGGGCTCTTACCCCATGGGAAAGGCAAGAAACACTAACTAGACGATCTCAGGAGAACTGGAGACCAGTGAACTGAAAGGGGCTGGAAATGAGAAAGAACCAGTCAGGGAATGGATGTTTAGGCCGCGGCTCAAACCCAGGGTAAAACTTTTACAGGAATTTCAGCAAGATTTTAGGGAAACTCATAAAGCACTGACAAGCCAGAATATACATAAGGGAAAGTGACTTAGCTTTCATCAGGGCTCTGGCATAGCCAGGGAGCGCAACTGCCTTTTGTTTTACGGCCCAAATTGATCATTTATTTCCCTGGAAACGGGGGAATAAAGGTACAAGAGGTATCCTAGGAAACTCATCTTCCCAGAACATCCCAGGAAACAACTCTTAAAAGGAGTCATTATTTTTCCTGCCAAGAAAGTTTTTATGTCTCTCTTTTCTCCTATGTGGCAGTATGACATGAAAACGGCTGTCCCAGGTGTGTAAACTCTTAGGGTTTGAGATCATAAGGAAGGTGCATTCAGGAAGCACTCTTAGCAGGAAGCAGAATAGAAAACCATTCCGTGACATAAGGAAGAGCCAGACTCACCGGTTCCACGTTATAGGAAAACAACGCATATTCTTTATCTGGGGATATTTCATATCTGATGGCTCTTAAGGATTCCTAAAAGAAAACAAAAAAGAAAACAGAATTTATAGGTGTTGCCTGTGACATCTCTGAGTCTTTTAGCAACATTGGGGTCATCCTCAGAATCCTCTACTGAGATAAGTTAAGCAGTGAACCAGGAACATTAAGTATGGCTATATCTTTTCTTAGTTAGCTGATCAAAATGTAGCTAATTGATGCTTTTAAAAATTCTATTTGCACTTTATTTCAAAACAGTCCTTATTGTGTCTGCTGGAGCACATCAATGGAAACAAACATAAAAACAAGCAACATTTTCCTGTAAGACCCCGAATCTCTCGATGCTTAATTATCACCCTTTTCTTCCGTTCTTATATCTAGAAGCATATGCTAAGCAGAGTTGTTACTAAAACAGAAGCAGATTCTACACGCTGTTCTGTTACTTGTCTCTTCACCATTGCAGGAATCCCTGGGAGTCAGCACACAGAGGGCATGCTTGCTTTTCTGCCAAATTCCTTTGTTTCCAGCCCTCAGTGTGAATACGGGCATCACCAACCACGAGGTTCCTCTGGCCTACCCTGTCCTCTGCCAGCTCCTGCTCTGACCCCTCCAAGGCCCTCATCGTCAGCCTGGTGTCCATCAATCCATTGTGCTGCAGTGACCACCTGGAGAGTGAGCTATGCCATTGAAAGTGACAACTCCGTACACATCTTTGTGTCTCAGTTTCTTCTCATGCACTGGGATCTTAAGGAAGCGATTGCAAGCAGTTGGTTCGTCTCTTCGTGCTAACTGTGTTACCCCCATATGCCTTCCTCCATGCAGTCCTCACTAAAGCAGGGTGGTTCTCAGTGGCTGCATTCCAAAAGTCACCATGAACATACCAATCAGTACCCAGTGGATCCTCACATCTAGGGGAACCCAGGGCTCTGCTCCACGTGCCTTTGTGTCCACATTGCCAATGACTGATCAAGATGCAGTGTTATGCTTTGTGCGTTTTTGTTTAAGGGTACCTAACTGATTAGACATGGTTGAGCCATTAGCACTCAACTCCTGGCCAGGAGCACTGTCACGGCCGCACAAAGCCGAGCCTGCACCCACATTGCCTCCAGTGCACACACTACAACCTTCCCGATCTCCAGAGCACTAGACCTGGGAACCCCTGTTAGTCTGAGATCACCCACAAATAAGCATGTGGCAAACACAGCGCTCTGCTGTGGTTCACAGGAAGAAAGCGACTGTTCACAGTGTGGGAGCTGAGCAAGAGAGCGGGACGCTCTGTGCTCCACTTCTGCCGACACACCATCGCGGGACCAGTGCAGGATGACTCCAATGTGTTCCTGCCATGATGAAGATGACTCCAGTGTTCTGAGTGTGCAATCCGGCGGGGTGCAGCAAACCTTACCACTCAGAGAATCTCAGATCTAGAAGCTGTGAACAGGGGAACAACCGCACAGCTGCTCCCATCAGCTGTGACTAAGAGCACCACCACCCCAAAGACTCCGCCCACTTGTCTCTATGGGTGTAGGCATGTAACTGGTTTTATAAATTAGGCATTTAAAGGCTAGAATGGTGATGAATGGTAGTTTTTTAAAAAGTTCAACAGATTTCCATAAATCACTTTCCACAGATGGCATTTGTGCTCTCCTCTGAAGTAATTTGTAATGTGATCTTACCTCAACTTTGACCACTGGAGGTGTAAGTTGGGGCTTGTTTGGTAGTTTAGCTCCTAGGCACATTCCTTCTTTGCTACCTATGGTACAGGTAACACTGGCCTTATCCTCACAAGGCAAACCAGCCAAATCTGCCTGAGAGTGTTCTGTGTGCCGATGTAGCCACACTCTCTCCTGAACTCCTGCATTCTCCCCAAAATTCCTGCATCCCACCCACTATTTATCCCAAATCACTCTTCTCCAGGTGCTGGGGTGTTTTATTTTGGTAAATGCCATAGTTCAGCTGTTGCCATGCTACACAACCTATCCCTCCCCTCTCTCCACAGTGCTGTCTGTACCTGGCTTCCAACACACACGCACACACACACACACACACACACACACACACA